GGTCAAGACCTTACTGATATAAATTACTTTATTAAATTTGTACTTACTAATGTTAAAATTAAGAATTAAAATTGAAACTAATAATTTCACATTACTGGCTTTGGGCTGAACAAATGGGTTTGATCTCTGGCTGGGGTAGGGATTTTTCTGTTTGCCACCACATTCACACCAACTCTGGGGCGGATTCAGTCTTCTGTCCGATAGGTACTGGGGTGTAAAGTGTGGGTGGGGTATGACACTGACCTCTCACCACATCTAGTTCTGAGGTGAAGAATGAGTAGGAGCAAGTGCCTCCATGACATGTAGTGGGATAGCTTTACTTTACAAAACTTCTGTACATATAAGTATAGCAATAAATGTCTTCATGTTGATATTTAAATTATAACTTTATGTTCCAGTGAGGAGGTAAAAGAGAAGTATGACGGTAAATTATCTAAAGAGATAACAGGTCCTACGTATGAAGTATTGGGGAAAGTTATGAAGGCAATTGTAAACCGGAAGATAACAGTTCCAGGTGGATTTGTCGGGTAGGTGACGTAGTAATGGTAAATTAAAATTTTAGATTAACGTTTGTGTTGGTACTTGAAGAGGATTGAGCTACTTGAATATGCCAAGCAGTTACAGTTTGTAAGAAATCCCTGTTGATTTTTGCAGTCATTCTGGAACTCCTGCTGTTGGTTGTTCTTATAAAGCTGCAGCTGGCTACATGTACCCTTTGGAGCGAGGTTTTATATATGTACATAAACCACCGGTTCACATCCGATTTGAAGAAATCAATAGTGTCAACTTTGCCCGAAGTGGGGGTGGAACCAGGTAGGTTAAGTGAACATTTATGGGAGACAGGGCATAATAGTGCCTTCTTAGATTGGTGTCAAAGTTGTGATACAACTCATTTTGTTACATTTTAATATTTTCTGCTGTTTGTTATTCCTCTGTTTATCATTGATAATTTTACTCAGACTCAGTAGTAGGTATAAAATTTGTTAATTTACCAATTAACAATCACAGTATTGTGTACCATTGACTTAGGTGCGGAAGAGTTTAATTTTGACTTGTAATACTCTCTGCAGGTCATTTGATTTTGAAGTGGAAACAAAGTCTGGAGTTGTGCACACATTCAGCAGCATTGAAAAGGATGAATATGGCAAATTGTTTGATTTTATCACATCCAAGAAACTGAGAGTGAAGAATCGAGGAAAATCTGTAAGTTAAATTAGAAATTTCTCCTGGCCAAGGTTTACATCATGTGAGAATAAATGTTCAGCCAATGAGTTTCTCTGAGGATATACTTCTACATTAATTGAAACAAAACCTTTGATTTTAAATAGAATAATTAAGAGGAATTATTTCCTATTTAACGTGAAGTAAGCTCCTCCTTGCTTATTATTTACAGAAAACATAATACTTTATAAGCAAATGCATATTGGATAAATACGTGTTGTATAAAAGTTTACTATATTTGTTAATTGTCTTTCACAAATGTCATTTTGTTTAAAAAATCTGTAGGCAGCTTCAAGTATGCGTTGAACCCTAAAATTTAATTTTTTTTACAATTTCTACGGCCATTAGCTGGTACATATCGCTTGACACAACATATTGAAACTGCTACCTCATTTAAATATGAAGAGAGTGTATCTTGTACCAGTGGAGATTGTGATTACGTATTACACATGCACATTATTTGGTAGAAAACTGGGCAGTAAAAATGTGTGAATTTCTGTTAACTTTTTTCTGGAAGTAACATTTCGGATCACTCAGTTTTCCTTCAAATCCTGTTTTCAGCTGTTCTGAAGTCATGCTTGAATGATGTAGAAAGTTTGAGATTTCATTCTTCTTACAGGATAAACCATCATATGCTGATGATTTTGGTGACTCAGACCATGAGGATGAGCCTGATGCTTACCTTGCCAGAGTAAAGGCCGAAGCAGAGGAGAGGGACGAAGGTGACGGGGCAGAATCAGAGGATGAATCTACTGATGAAGACTTCAACCCTGATCAGCAAGAGAGTGATGTTGCTGAAGAGTAAGTTACATATATTGTAGAAATGTTAGAACTCTGTTTTGTTTGATTTTTTGAGTAGTTGTAGCAAAATAGCATTTTTCCTATGACATGCTGATTTTTCGTGTTGTGTCTTGTTCTTAAGCCTCTGTATCCTGAGTTATCCACTCAGCATCACCACTAAAATGCAAACACAGATGGCAGTACAGACTTCACAAAGACACACTTGTAGTCAGCAGAAGTTGTACAAAACTACTTATACAGCAAAATGCTACTTGCCTTACTGTTGCTGCTGATGATATTTATAATATTAGTAAAAATGATCGTGTTTACAGCATATCTGTTGTGATTTTAATGGAAGTTTTTCATTTCTGAAGTGATTTTTCTTCCCTTGTATTGAGTTTCATTGCAATTCCCATTTTAGTAAAAATCCATAAATCAAGGGATAGATGCATAAAGAAAATCCCATTTATTGTTCTTTGACATAGATATCTTTTTATTTAATGCCAGTTTTCAGGGTCCCAACCTTATTTTATTTGGTAAAATTCCCACTGTTTAAGGTCTTCTGTGGCCTTATGACATGAAATGGGAACATTTGATAAAATGTAGATGTTTTTAAATTTTTTGGTATTTTCCAAAATTCTCTGTTAATATATCTGTCCCGTGTCGCAGATATGACAGTAATCCCACACCATCAGATTCTGATGAAGGATCAGGTGATTCAGAACATGAGAAAAACAAGAAGAAAGTGGAAAAGAAAGAGAGGAAACCAAAGAAAACTAAGACAGTAGTGAGTATAATATTTTTAGAACATTTATGTATAGTGTATCTCATGGTTTGTATGAGTGTGAAGCCTCATCTCACTCTCTAAAAAGAGGACATGGATTAAGGCTGAAGAAAGTGTTTGGACCTAATATGAAAGAAGGAACAGGAAGACTGAGATAACTGCATGTGGAGGAGCTTCATCATAATCGCCCTGATGACGGAGGCAGTATGACCTCTGAAACGTTGGTAAACATTGACCAGACTACACAGCGCAACAACCCAGAAGACAGAAATCTTCATACTCACCGCTGTGAAAACCTCAAATCTTACATTCATAACTTGTACTCTTAACCAGATTAAGGTAATCAAATCACAGATATTGAGAATGGGGGACATATAACAGTATGTGGCAAACAGTTCAGATGTAGTATGCCTGACTCGTATTTATGTTCGTTGGAAATATATTGTTGTATTTACAAGTCACTTTATTATCTTGCTTTGCAGTCTGAGAAACCTCGAAAGAAGCACGTAAAGCAAGACAAGGATGAAAATAAACCAAAGCGGCCTCCAACAGCTTTTATGTTATACCTAAATGCAAACAGAGAAAAGATCAAGTCAGAGAATCCTGGTATTGTTGTTACTGACATTGCCAAGAAAGGTGGAGAGATGTGGAGGGATCTGAAGGACAAATCGGTATGTGTTTCGTTTGCGTTATCTGTTTGATAACTTCACAGTTTGTAATCCTTTGAATCCTTATGTAGTAGCTGGAATACTCAGTCACTAAGTGGCTAGGTTAGATGTTGGTGGACCATGGTTTTTGTCTTCACCACATCCAGACTGGGTCTGGGGCACACCAGACCTCCTGTCCAATGAGTAGTATTGGTTTCTTCTTTGGGATGAGTAAACCAAAGCACTCCACTTCAGAAGTAACCACTCTCATTTAGTGCCAAGGTTAGGAATTTGTGGAATTATATCTCAATTTCACCATATTCACGGTGCTTAGGGACAACTTTGATTTCATAGGTTAGAGTTTCTCAGCCTTTTTCAGATCTGGGGCTACATTTGTCCTTGTCAACTTGCAGGTCATGACATTATAGATGAGGACAGTTTATTGAAACACCATATCACTCTTTGAGCATTTGAATTTTTTTATGTTTGTATTGAGTTTATTTTAAAATATTTGTACATAATTATTCAGTAACAGCAGTTTTATGTTCCATGTTTCTTCCTTAGGAATGGGAAAATAAAGCATCAAAACTGAAAGAAGAATATGCTAAAGCAATGAAGGAGTATGAAGCATCAGGAGGTGGAGGAAGTGAGTCTAAAGATAAGAAGAAAGAAACAAAGAAGAAAGAATCAACTCCCAAGTCAGTTCCACCCAAGTCTGGGAGTTTTAAGAGCAAGGAGTATATAAGTGATGTGGAAAGCAGCAGTTCCAGTGAGAAGGCTGACGATGAGGGGGGGAAGGGGAAAAAGCCATCCAGGAAACCACCACCAGCTAAAAAAGCAGTGAGTGCAGTGCAGATGCGCAGTTTGGACTACTCAATTTGAATGAACACAGAAATTGAATCAGGTCATCCAACAAATGATTATCAATTAAGGCTGAAAGCATTGCTGTCTGTTTACGTCTGTTTGTAGGGTCTACTGGGGGGGGAGTCTGATTTATAAGAATGACAGATGACCGAGTATTTACAATATTATTTATACTGAAGGATTATGCACTTACATCATCAGGGGTGATGTAGATTATTCTTCTCCTTCTTCTATAGCTCTACGGTCCGTATTCGGTCCACGGCCTCCTCAATTCTCCTCTTTCATTTGGTCCTATCCTCCGCTGCTCTTCTGTTAGGTCCGTCTGTCCGAGGCTTTGATTGAGGTTT